CCTTGTTTTAACCTTGGTCAGCTACCCAGGAGCCTTGTGACCTCGGGCAAGTGACCACCTCTCCTTGGTCTCCAAAGGCCCTTTCATCTGTCACCCATGCGATGATTCAGGCGGGCAGGTGCTTTTATGGTCACACTTCCTAGGCATGACTCTAAAGTAATGTTAAGAGTTTTTTTTATCTAGGGGAGGGGGAATTCTTTCATTTTATTTTTTAAGGTAATAAAACACCTACCTCCTTGTATTATAATGAATATCTCCATTACCATCTTGCATAAATCTCTCTGGCTTTCTGGTGTTTTCCTAAAGTTGTATTTCTTCCAGCGGATTTCCTGGTTGTTCAAAGGGTACAGGCACATTTAAAGCCGTTTGTACATACTGCTGAATTGTTTTCCAGAGAGTTTGGGAGAAGTGCCTTTTCTTCATACCCTGGTCAGTTTGTGCTTTGAAAACACTTTTTATTTACCTGGCAGAGTGAAAATGGTGTGCGATTGTTTCGATGTGTATTTCTTGGATTACCAGCCAGAGTAAGCATATTTTCAGGTGCTTAGCAGCCTTTCTATTTCCATTTCTGCGTATCACCTGTTCTGGCCTTTGTGCATTTACCCCCTGGAATGGGCTGCAGGTTGCCCAACCCTGGGCCCCGTTTGCTTTGTGTGCGCTGGGCCCGACCCCACGTGAGAGGGGCCTTTCTTTTGACGGGCATGGGGACGGGCTGCGTGCTAGGCTGGCTTTCTGGCCGACTCTCCAACACATGTGCACTGTTCCTTTTCCTTTGTAATCAGGGGACTGCCACTTAGTCCCTAAGACTGCAGGACTCTAGAGCATTTGAGCAACACTGTGGAACAGGGAGCCCGCTCTGTCCCTGCCCCGCTTTGGGGCACATTTTCTCTCAGGGCAGGCTGGCTTTGGAAGAGGATCAAGAATTACTATGCCACGATCTGGGTGAATAGAACCATACGATGCCAACTTGGCTAAAGCGAATTCTGTTTTCGTGTGATGGATAATTTTGCCGAGTGGCTCTACTCATAGCATGCAGAGGGGAGCCCCTGGAAAAGTGGAAATATCCACTTCTTGCGACTTCCAGTTTCTGAGAAGCAAACCCACATTCAAAGCGGGGTGTCTGAGGTCGGGATTGCTCTCCAGTCACATATCCCTGATGATTTTGCTGCAAGGCCCGTGGAGTTGATTTCATTGTCCCTCGGTGCAGGAGGCAGCAGAGACAAAGGAGTTGGGTGAGGTGCCCGGGGCCCCCTGAGTCACCAGCTGTGTGGATGCTTCTGGGCCTCAGCTGGTCTCAGGGTTCCCGTGTGGCTGCAGAGGGAGCCGGGCCTGTTGTGGCCCCTCCATGGCGCCACTGAGAACAGTTAGCACCGAGGAGCGTGCTTGGGGTGTCGGTTATCTAGGAGGGACACCTGGTGTGCTGAGAGCAGCTGGTGTGGTAGGCAGAGGCTTGCTTTAGAGGCGAGGTCCATGGTCAGAACCAGCTGATGTCGCAGCCACCAGTGGAGAGATCTTGGTCAAGTCTCTTAGCCTCTCTGAGCTTCGGTTTTCTTGGTTCTTTGAGGCTTCCTCTCATTAGTCATGAGAATTTGGGTACATTTCTATGCAAAGTGCCTTTCTGAGGGCTGAGGACTGCTCACTAGATAAACACTATTGTTATTCTTGCTTCAAAACCCTACGGAAACTCCAGCTGTCACCTGTGGGCCCTCTCCTCCCAGGCCTGGGGTGATTTCTGAAAACCGGACCAACCTCAGCCTGCTTTTGCTTGCATTATTGAGAGGGCCCGGGAAGAGGGGAGCCCTCCCTTTCGTGTTGCAGAGATTTGCACTCAGGACCTTGCAACCTGATATCCACACTTTTCTCAAGAGAATTGTGGGAGACCCAGCTGCCCCCAACTTCCTCAGCTCCTCCCCTGGGGCTCCCCATTTGACTGCCAAGGTAAAGGAGGTTAATCTGAAAGAAACTGTACCAGGCTGAGCCCAGGTAGGACGCTCTTGCCTTATCCTTTATCTTAGTTATTATTTTGTTTATTCGTAATACCATTATTAAGTTGTTGTTGTTGTCGTTGTTGTTGTTATTAATACATGCTGGTTATTTTAAAATCCAAATCCCACCTCTGCTATCCCTCCTTTCCCCAGCTCCTGGAAACCACCATTGTGCTTTCTGTTTCTAGGAATCCGACTCTACGTACCGCATATAAGTGGAATCATACTGTCAGCGTAAGAAATGTCCAAAACTGTAGGGAATTTTTGTAAGTTTATTTGAGCCAAACTGATGACATATGCCGGGGGGGCAAATGTCTGGAGAATAACAGTTTTGAAGTTTCTTGGCAAGGTCTCAAATGTCTGGAGAATAACAGTTTTGAAGTTTCTTCTATGCATTTAAAATTAAGGAGGGAACTAAGAAGCTAAAAAGTTATATGCCTGGGGCATAACTACCCACGTGACCTGCCCAGTTAGGAATTTATGATCAGATCACCCGTGAGGTTACCTTCCATAGAACCTGTGTTAGTTAGTTTGTTTGTTTGTTTTTGTCCACAGTCTATTTTTCTTCTCAGGACAAATTTATTTCAGTTAGCATAATGACTTCAGGATTCATCCGTGTTGTAGCCTGTGTCAGAATGTCCTTCCTTTTTAGGGCTGCGTAATATTCCTGTGTATGATTTACCACATTTAGTTTTTCCACTCATCCATTATTGGACACTTGGATTGCTTCTACCTTTTGGCTGTTGTAAATAATGCTACTGTGTATGTTCATCTTTATTCATTATTTATCTTATTATATTTTATTTCGTTCCTTTTATTATTTTACTTACAAAAGTAATATGTCTTAATTCAAACATGATGTCATAGAAATACATGGAGGGGGAAAGTCCCCATTCTTGTACCTGGGATGAAGGTGACCAGTGTCAACAGTCTGGTGTCTTTTCTTTCAGGATTTTCATTTATATTTTCATATACAGATGTATAATTTTTAAGTGGGATTATATGCTGTACATGCTTAGACATTTTTTAACGTTTCATTCTGAGTTAACGCGAGTTGGAGAAAAGTCACAAGACTTAAAAGAATTCCCATATTCCCTTTACCACATCGGCTTTAACTTCTCTCTCACTCTTTTCAAGTCTCCTGAAATGGGCTGCAGGTGTAATGTCCCTTTCCTGCTAAAGGTTTTAATGTGTATCATCTAAAAACAGGGACGTTTTCTTATATAACCTAGTACGATGATGGAAATCAGGAATATAGTATTGTTCCATCTACTGATTTTACTTGGCTATGACCAGTTATCCGAACAGTGTCCGTTACACATAACAAAGGAAATCTCCTATTTTCTCAGATGGTAGACACTCACATAGCTTTCTATTTCTTTTTTTTACAAGCAATCGTCATGTCTCTTTAAACTAGAACAGCTACATAGGCTTTCTTCGACTTTTAGGACATGGTGTTTTGGGGGGTACAGGTCAGTTATTGTGTACAATGCTTCTAAATCTGAAGTCGTCCGATGTCTCCTCGTGACTAGATTCGGGTTACCCGCTTTTGGCGGGGACCCCACAGAAGCGAGGCCATGTTCTTCTCGGAGCGCCATATCAGGAGACACACGTCTCACCGTTCATCTCTGCGACTCCGGCAATGTTAAATTAGCCACTGTAAAAAAATTGATTTTCATGAGGTAGAATTTACATCGGGTGAAATATACACAGCTTTCACGAACAGGTTGATGAATTTTGTTGGGTGCATCAGTATACCTAACACCCCAATCAGGGTTACATACTGTTTTCAACTTGCTTTTTTAGTTAAAAGTATAATTTCTGCATCTTCCCATACGGGTTAGTCTAAGTTTTTGTCAAGTGTTTTAGAGGAACTTGTCGGAGTTCACTTTAGACTAACATTGGAGAGCTTGGCCTTTGGAGTCATGTGGGTTTGGGTGTCAACTTCTGCTCTGACACTTGTCACCCTGTAGAGGGTGATTCTTAGCTCTTTAAGTCTTAATTTTTTCATCTTTAAAATGGGAAGACTAAGAACTCTTATAAGTAAATTTTTTTAAAAAGATTAGCCAGTAGAGACACTGGCAAAGGAGAGGAACACACAATTCACGGAAGAAAACAGCCATTTGTGGAGTCAGTAAACCTATGAAAAGATGTCCAGCCTCACTGATGATGAAAAAGATGCAAATCACAGTGACGATGAGATAAATTTGCAGCCATCAAATTGGCAGAAATTAAAGTCTCACTACAGCTGATGGTGGCGAGGGTTTAGGGAAGAGGGCTCTCTCACTGTTGGTGGGAGTGTACACTGACTGTGTATTTTTGGAGGGTAGTTGGGCGTACTTGCTAAAATTGTAAATGTTTATACCTCTTATTCAAGTCATTACTCTGTAGTAACTTATTCTACATATGCACCTGCACAAGTGGGCAAAGGACGTGTATCATCGCAGCATCCTATCAAAGCGGAAACAACCCAAATGTCCAACAGTCGGGAGCAGGGTGTGATACTTTCCTTTCTCATACTTTCTGAAGCCTTCAGGATACTTTCCGGAGACTTAAAAAGGTTTAATTTCCTAATTATAAAAGCAATACCTGATTATAAAAGAAAATAAAGCAGGAAGAACATTGTCACACGGTTGCCTCCATGCTTTCCATAAACGTTCACATCTTGTTTGTTTTCCATGTGACGTTATAATACGTGCCTTGTTCTATGATATTAGAAATTCTTTGTGAATCTTATTTTCAGCGGCTGCCTAATAACCCTTCGGCTGGATATACCATTATTTACTTAAACAATCTCCTATTGTTGAACCTTTTTCTGTTTGTCCTATTTCCTTAAGATAGTTTCCCAGAAGTAGAAATACTGGTTTGGAGGCCACTAGCATTTTAAGTCTCTCCCTACATCTTGCCAAATGATTCCCCCAAAACACGGCACCCGTGGCTCGTCCCTCCAGCAGAGCTCGAGAATCTTCTGATGGAATGCCCTACTCTAACCGGCCTTTTGTTCTGCTCCCAAAGCCTCATAAAGAAAATGGCCCAGAGCGTGGTGGAAGTCATGGAAGACGCCAAGGGCAAGGTTCAGGAGAACCTCCTGGCCAACGGAGGTGAGTCACTCAAGCGTTCTCATCCCAGGGCCTTCTCGGCTCATGCCAGCCCAGTCGGTGGCCCTAGCTGTGGCCACAGGTAATGACCGAAGTCATGTGCACCCCTCCCCTCACCCTGGAGGCTCCGAGTGGACAGAGGCCTCCACCCTGCTTTTAGCCCAGCAGCACCTGTGTTTGGCAGACATGGCCCTTTGCCAGTTCCTCGCCCCGCTGTCTGATTTCTAAAGCATCCAGCATTTCTACCCTGTAGCTCAAATCCTCTATGAAACTTGAAGTGGAAATGGGTTCAGAGCGGAATAATGGTCGTTTGGTCCTTCCCATCCCCTCTATCCTGCATAGGAAGTTCCATCCTGCTCCCTACCTTCCACCCCGTCCCCACCCTCACCCCCCCACCCGCCCCCGCAAAAATTGCGCTGCAGACGCCTTCCCGGACTGAGGCGTGCCTCACACTAAAGTCATAAGTTGTACCCCGAGTTAGACCAAAAATGTTTTGGTCCATTAATTGTGTCATCTAATTTGACTGCACTCCAAGTGTGCAAGACAGAAAGTTAGCAACTTTGGAAACTCCAGAATTAGGTGTTTAAATAAATATTTAAAACTTTATGCATGCGTGCGTACTGAAAATGAGCGTACAGATTCTGTATTTAACATTGATACCATTTGTTACATAGAAATTCACATTTCCCCCACTCCTGGCAACCTTAACAAGCTTTCTATTCGCTCGTTTAAACTGATGCACGGAAATCCTCACGCTCCCAAGTCTGAACCTGGCTTTGTGTGTGAACGAGGTTGAGTAATGCCACCTTATTACCTTGCAGGTTTGAAGGAAAAAATGAAATGTTTAAAGAGTAGGTCATGCGCTGTTTGCCGTGTGGTGTTCCGTGTGGTGCCTGCATGTCCCTGGGAATGTGGAATCTTGGTCTGGTTCTAGGGGTACAGTGATCAGGTTATGACAGATGCCCTAAGTAGCAACCTCACAGCTTGGTCACTCTATCCGTATGACACAGGTAGCAACCGTTCTTTCCCTTTCCCGTCTGCCCCGTGCCTCCTCTGCCTCTCCAGCTGCTCTGCATGCCTCTTTGAGTGGGGATGCTTTGACTCTGGGGTTCCAAGTGGACTTCTGCATCTTTGCCTCACAGTTTACTTCATGCCTTAATGGCTGTCCCCAGCGTCCTCCTGCCTGCCTGCTCTTGAAGGCTGGCTGTTCGTTAAATGCCAGGCTTAGCTTGGTGTGGCGTTAGCAGGGCTTATGCATGCCAGGAACCTGCTTCCCTCGAGCCTCCTGAGGGAGCCCCTGCACCCACACAAGCTATTTCTGGTTTCTGCATTAGAAGGAACCACTTCTTTGGGGTTCTTCTCTCGGCTCAAACTGGTAGAGTTAAAGCCAGCAGATCCCTTTAGAATGAATACGAATCTTTGCAGATCGAAAGTTACCCAAATGCCTTCCCAAATGCAATCTGTTTGTTACACTATTTCTTTCTGATGCTGGCCAAAAAATTATTTTGTTAAAAAAAATGGTTGATTTTATTTCCAGCAGGTAACTCGTAGGGCCCCAGACTGCAGAGGTGACTTACGGTAGAGAGCTGCTTTTCTACATTAAAACCTGGTCTTTAGGGCACGAGGGTTCCAGCTCACATTAAAATAGTCATCAAGTGCTGACATTCTACTCAACATTCACGTTACTTCATATTAGATGTCATTATTTCGTCATGTCCATCCTCGGTCCAGATGGCACCAACTCTCAGAGATGCTGCCTCTTCTCAGGAGGGGGAAATTCAGCTTTATTTGTTTATTTAGTCTCTTTCATTATCTCTAGGCCTCCTGTTAGTCGGGTCCCCTGTGCCTTCCAGGACTAGAACTTCCAAAGCTTGTTCTATACACCAGGCCTGTGTAAACCACAGTCAAAGATGCTACGGCATAGTAAAGGCTCTGAAAAGTACCGCAGCCAAGCGACCTTAACAAACTTAGTTTGATTCAGGCTTTTTGGGTATTGTCTGGATGGGGAAACCTTTTCCTTCTGCAGAGCAGGGAACTGGTGATTGACAGAACTAATTGGAGGAACTCAGTGTAGCCCTGGCACGTGGGGTTTTAGTCTAATCTCTTCTAGAACATACCTGGGAATTCAGGTTGTGTGGCCGGCCAGCAGCACCAGCTTGGAGCAGTCGGACCTGGTCCTGCTGCGTAATGCGCTTTGTGACCTTGACAGGTCACCTCTCTGAGTCTTGGTTTTCTCACCTGTCAGTGGACTCCATCCCTTTACAGGCTCTCGCGTTACCTGGGCACTTTTTGTTAATTGTTTGCTCTTTGCCCCTGGCTGAGCTTTGGGCGTGGAAGGGCAGAGATATGTTCGATTTCTGCAGAAGCTGAGCAAACACACTGTTGTCTGGCCTGGGCCCTCACACGTGCCCAGGGGTTGTAGACACCAGAAGGGCCTGCCTGACTGCCCAGGCAGCAGGCTGCGGCCGCGGTGGTCACAGGCCCGCGTTCTCCTGCCCGCCGAGGAGGCCTGGTTTGGGTTCTCGGGTGTGATCACTGTTGCTGCAGAGCCGCCCCTGTGTACGGCGTGCTTTGATGCAGAGTGGGCCCCTCTGGGTCATGGCCTGACGTCACAGGCCACCTGCCCAGGCTCCACACTTCTGCCCAGGCTCCGCACTGCTGCCTCGGAGACCGGGCTTCGCTGACCTCAGCCAGGGGCAGAGAGGAGAGGCCAGTTCTTTCCCGAGTGGGCACAGGGACAGCTGAGGCACTGGATGTGCTGAAGGCCCAGGGGGGCTGCCACTTGCTAAGGCGGAGGACCCCGTGAGACCACGTTCTCACCGAGAGTAATGTGCGTGGCCGGGACAAGGTCGCCCCTGGGCATGCGACCCGGGCCAGTGGTCAGTACCTGGAGCTGGAGCTGGTGCTCCCGGCATGCAGGGGAGGAGGAGGAGGCGGCCACGGTCACGAGAGGGGCTTCTGTCGGGAAGTCTGTACCGCATCCTTCTTCATTCATCAGACACGCGTGCTCGGCCACCGAGCGCCAAGCAATTTCGACACACACGTCTGTTTTAAAGAAGGCATTTTAAACATTAGCAAACTATTGGAGTTTACGAATGTGATTTTTAGTATCTGGCATGAATGTGCAGATTCACAGAATCAGGCATTAACTTAGTATGAATGTAGATTTTGGTTTGCCACACTACAGTGGGGGAATGACTTTGCCACAAGGATCCAGACCTGGGATCCTTGGCTAGTGCTTGGGCGGAGGAGGCAGGAAGATGGCTCGTCCTGTGAGCGAGTGGCAGCTGTGACTGGCTGCGTGGTCTTCGGGGTTGGCTGGGGGCTCTCTGGCATGCCTTCAAGACACCCTGACTCTGAAGATAACCCAACGGGGGCCTGTGGCCAGAGCAACTGGCAAAGGCAGGGAACTAGCCTGGGGCCCTCGGAATATCCCTGGCTTTGCTCTCGCCTCCTGGGGAAAAAAGAAACCTCCCCCAAACACAGGTCTCTGTGGCAGCCACCTCAGCGAGAGTCTGGGCACAGTGTCCCGCCTGTGACAGCGTCCCGCCTGCGACGGTGTCCCTGTGGCCAGTGGTGTGTTTTTTGGAGGGACTCAGTGTACTGCGACAGCTGGCCAGTTAGCTCAGCATCGCGCTCCCACGGGGAACGTTTGCTGCCTCCGGGCCCCGAGTCCGTGCTCTCCAGACGCTCCCCTGCTGTGAGTGGGGTGCTTGGCTTGGGTTTCAGAAACTGCGATCTCGTGAGACGTGGAGAGCCCGCTCATCTGTGGACATGTGTTTGTATTCCTCCAGCTGATTTAACGTCCTTTGTGACCCACTTCGAATGGGACATGGCCAAATACCCTGCGAAGCAGCCGCTGGTGGGCGTGGTGGACACTCTAGCTAAGGTAAGAGACGGACCTGCTCTCGGAGGACGCTCACACTCCTGAGGCCGGGGACATCAGACTGCCTGCTGTGGATCGACATGGCGTTTGGACCCTGAAGAAGTAGAGAGGGCCTTTCCAGGAGGCCAGAGGCCGGAGGCCGGGTTCTCGCCCTGCTGGTTCCCCTCTCCATCGGCCTCCTGCCGGCCCTGCCTGGGCCCCAGTGGGTGTTTGAGGCATGGCCTTCCATGCCCTGGGCAAGGTCAGAGGCCGTCGGGTGTGAGGGCAGCCCTGGAGACAGGAAAGGTGACCACATGCTCACCCTCCACCTCCGCTAGCCCTGTCGTCTGGCCAGGTGGCTGCGTCTCAGCGGACAGTCCCTGGACAGACGGGCTGTCTGAGCCGCCAGTGTCTGCCCCGCACCCCGAGCCCATTCACCGCGCCCCTCTGCGCCTCTTTTCTTTTCACAAGGTGCTAACGGAGGGTCGGCCCGCCCTGGCCCACTCTTAGAATCTGAAACCCAGCCCACCCCCAGGGTGCTGATTCACTGGGCAAACTCTGCTTCAGTGGAGTTTGGCTTAGGAGCCCAAACTCTTGAGAGGTGTCCCGGGGAGGTCCTACCCCTGGCCTGAGGTGCCTGTGACGATAAGGAGGCTGGTCAGCACTGCCCCCGTGGCTCCACCCACTGGGTAAGCAGTGGCCTCTAGCCTTTGCTTGGTGAATCAAAGCACTGCAGCACAGGTCTGTGGGGACCCTGTGGCGGGTCTCCCAGCCATGCCGACGCCTGTGTGTCTCGCTGAGGGTGGGTGCTGACAGTGTCCGACCGCCTGTCCCCGCCACCGCCACCCCGATCCGCCAAGCTGCTGATATGTCAGGTCTCCTCCTGGCTCGGGTGTCTGGGAGAGAGTCTCAGCCAGACCAGGAACAAAGCCCTCCTGTTGTCTGTTCTGAGTGGCAGAGCCACCTGGGTGTGGCCGGGCGGGCCAAGAGAAGGAGATGACCGCTGGGACCCATCCCGTGCAGCCGGCCCATCTCCTCACCTCAGGCGGCTGCCCGGCCTGTGTCTGGGAACACAGGTGGGGCCAGGAGGCTCGGAGACCTGGGTGCGGCTCCTTGGGTACCATTTGCGTCACAGTGGTCCCAGCCCCTCCTGGGACAATTGGGCAGTGATTCTGGAAGGCCCTTTGAGGAGGGGCTGCCTGGAGCGCCCGGGCCAGGCGTGGCTTCCAGGAGGGCGTTGTGCGCCTTCGCCACCAACCTGGAGGCATGTGGTAGTTTGTGGGCCTGGCTGCACCCCGCCCTGCGGTATGATGCCGGGTTCGAGCTAGGTGGGGTCAGCACCGTTCTCTGAGTCCCCTGGGACAGTGCTCCCCAGCATGGTGGTCCTGGGGTCTCCAGACCTGTGACAAGGGCCCCAGAGTGTACGAGGCCATTGGCTGATGGGTGAAGGACAGAACCTGGCTTCTCTCTAGTCCGGGGCATCCACAGAGTGCCTTCAGCAGAAAAGCAGGTGGGGGGAGGGCACGGGTTTGGTGGGGGGCGGGGAGGGCACGGGTTTGGCGGCACTTCTGGCTGTCTGGAGCCACACTGGGCTTTTATTTCTTTTACTTCTCGTGTCACCCCTGTGAGGTAGGTGTCACCTTCCTCCGATTTCAGATGGAGGCTGGCTGAGGTTAGGTGGCCTGCCCCAGGGCCTGCGGGGGTGAGGTGTTACATGAGGAGGGGGAGGGTGGGATGCAGGTCTTGTGTGCGAGGCTCCCTGCCCAAGGGGCCTCCTCTGTGAGGCCGGCCCGGCAGAGGCTCTGGGTGTTGGCGCTCCTAGCCCGTCCTGCACGATGGACTCACATGTGGTGGCTGCAGCCCTGGCTCAGGCCTGTTCACCCAGTGGGAGGTCTGAATCTGTTCCTAGACACATCACAGTCAACGGGAATGCCCTCGCTGGGAGAGGCCCCTCCAGCTCTGACTGGAGGAAATCAGAAAAATAAGGTCATCGTGGGATGTTTTTGCTTGTTTGATTTTTTTTCTTTAAAAAAAAAAAAAAATCTTATTTTCAAAATCAAGATCTGTGGATTGTACCCATGTCAGTCTCCTGGTTGCGATATTTGTACCGTTGTCACGTAAGATGTTACTGTTGGGGACACCGGAACACGGCATCGCTGTGTACCATTCTTATAATTTTCTGTGAATCTACAGTCATTTCAAAGTAAGAAGTTTTTTTAAATTGTAACAAAATATTATAAATTTTACCAAAAAATCGAATATATCAAAATGTAAAGATAGAAACGTGAAAGGCCTCCCATTACAGCAGCACCCCCCATTTTTGCTCCCTTTAACCGCCCTTAAAGGTAACCCGTGATTAAAAGTTTAAAGTAGATCCTTCCATCTATATAAAAACTATATATATTTCAACTCAAAATTGTCCATATCGTAAAGATTGCCTCGTGTTTTCATGTAACGATTCTGGAGATGTCTCCGCATCGGCACATGCTGATCTGTTGTGTTTGTTGACATGAATATCGGGCCCCCCTCCCCACCCTCCCCCCGCCCCCCGTGGCTGATTGCAAGTCACCAGCGAAGTGTCACTGACCGTGGGCCGAGGAGAGAGACGTGGGAGGCGACGGTCAGTCTCTCCCAGGAGCCGTGGAAACGGGCCCCGCACCCCACATGTGCCAGCGCGTGGGAACCCAACTCGTGCGCAGTGATCCGTAACGGGGGGCGGGGGTCCCACTTTGTGGACCAGTTCTGACTTTGCGGACTGTGCTGTCGCAGTGTGGGCCCTGGAGGGCAAGGGCTGGTGGGCTGCTTTTAATTCCTGACAGCGCCCAGCACAGAAGATGGCCTCGCTGTGGCACTGGACGTCTGCTCCAGTGACCTCACAACACTCGTTTGTAGCAGTTGTCTTAACAACTACTGTGTTTTGGGGGCATCTGGCGAAGTGGGTGCTGGCAGGCATTTTTCTTTCACTGTTTCAGGCCCCTGGGGAGACAGTATCCTCCTGGCTGGGCTGAAGTGGCACCTGAGGCAGAAGAGCTGGGCCTCGGGCCACGGCTTGTCACATTCCCTGGCCACCGCAGGAGGGGGTCTGAGATCCCGAACCTTCTAGAACAAAGGGATCTCCTTAATATCAGGCTGGTGACCTGCCTCCAAGCTAAAAGGAGCCGTCTCACTACGGGGGAGCAGGAAGGGGCTGCCATGGGACGCAGCTAAGTCTGCAGACCCGCACCCTGTTGGGGCTGAGCCATAGTGAGTCCCCGCAGGAGCCAGCATGGCGGTCAGCCCGAGCTGACCTCTGGCACAGCCCGAGAGCAAATGGTGTGGAGGGCCGTGGGTGCCGTGACGGTACGAGGTGGGCTCGACGCCAGAAGATTCAGCTTCTGGAGTGATCCCAGAAAAACCATTCGTGCCTCGAGCCTCACCCCGTCCTGCCTCCCAGGGCCTCACTGTAGGGCCCAATATGGAGTGTCCAGGAGAGCGGAGGGGAGAAAACTGGGCCTTTCTGGCACGTGGGCAGTTAATGTTTCCTCCATAAGGGCACCAGGATCCCGTTGTGGCAATTTGGAAAAGTTCCACCAACTCTGGACACTTTTACTTTCCCCGATAGCAACTGGCACAGATCGAGACTGACCTGAAGTCCCGCACGGCCGCCTTCAACACCCTGAAGACGAACCTGGAGAACCTGGAGAAGAAATCCATGTGAGTGGCCCGTTCCCGCCCCGCCTGCGGCCTCCGAGCCTGGCTGCGGCCGGATGCTGGCCGGGCCTACGCGTGTGCCGTCCGGGTCCCGGGGTCCCACGTCTGCATCAGCGAGAGCGAGAGGGAGACAGATGGGCAGGCGGACAGGCAGACAGGCGGACGCAGAGGCTCCTGCCTCTCCGGGAGCTGTGCTGGGAGAGAAGGACCTGGAGCAGATGCGGGGGGGGCAACGCCCAAGCAGGGGTTGGTGGCATCTCCCTGCCCCAGCCCGGGGAGGGACACGATGCTGGAAGAGGCACCTGTCTCTCTCCCAGCCTCTCCCAGGTTGCTGGGAGCACCAGAGTGCCCAGGATCCTCCCACTGTGGGGGTCCAGGGGCTCCTGCTCACACAAGCAGCGGGAGCTAGGCTGTCAGAGCCTGGCCCTGGTGATGACCAGCAGAGGAAAGTGGGCTCTACGGAGAGGCCCTGAGCGGAGTAGCCTCAGGGACTCAGGAGCACCACATGGGAGAGAGAGCAGACTGCTTGGTCCAGCAGACACGACCCGTCACCATGGTGCTGGGGGTGTAGGAGTAAAGCAGTGTCATGAGGCGGTGGCCGTCCTGTGAGGTAGTGAGCTCCCTGTTGTTGGAAGCATGTTAGAAGCCAGATGAGCTTCTGCTGGGGAGGCTGGAAGGTGCTTATGAACAGGGCCGAGTTGGCATGGAGGACCCTTCCAGTACCCCCTAGATCCGATTCTGCTGGCGATTCCCAGAAGATACTCCAGAGAAGGGACATGGCCTGGGGGAGCTCGGAACCAGCCGTCCCCTAGGATGGCCATCCCTCTGATTGGCTCATTGCCATGAGCAAAGAAAAAGTCACCAGGGAGGTCCCTTCAGCGTCCACTCCTCTCTCATAACGGTTACTGGGCCAGCTGGCTTCTCGTGAAAAAGGCACATAGCACATTCATGAGAAATGTACAGTCAACCGTGGTTGCCTGACTTTGTATCCAAACTAAATGTGTCTATGGCCACGCCGCCCTGAACTTGGGAAGCTAAGCAGGGATGGGCCTGGTTAGTACTTGGATGGGAGACCACCAAGTACCACCTAGGAAGACCAGGTGCTGTAGGTGTAAAAAAAAAAAATTAAATGGGCACCAACTGAATTTTGCCCCCTTGGTCCCTTAGCCCTACCAGGAAGAGGTGAGGATGGGGGAAGGGCAGGGTGCCAATGACAGAGAGCCCTAAATGTTGACCTTGGCAGAGATCTGTCACGGCACCGACCATGGGCCATGGGAGGCACATGCATGTTGCCTTTGGTGAGGGACCCTAAGGGACTTACCAGTGATAACCCAGGGGGGTGAGAACGCAGGCTCCCTGGGCAGGCTGGGGAGCCTCTGTGGGATAGCGTGTTACCCAGAGCTTTGGCTTCGGCTAAGCGCTTGAGAAGTATTTATTCAGGAAGCACCGTGTGCTAATATTGTAGCTAACATCACAGCCTAAGTGCTAATGGTACAGACAGTCCGTTAGCCATGTCTTGGCCCATCTCCTGATAGAGCAGCCTTGGTTCATGTGCTAAAAATACCATGGCCTCAATGCAGACCGGGTTCCACGGGGCATGTAGAAAGCTATTTCAGGTGAGTGTCCCTGGCCGCCGCGCCTGTAAGGCGTGTAAAGTGAACTGGAGCTCCCTCTGGGGCTGTCTGCCCAGGACAGCCCACTTGGCTCCGCAGGCCAGCCCCTGTGTTGACACTTGAGTAACTTAAGCTGCCTGCCACCAGTGGCCCCCTCCCAACAGCAGTGGCTTGTGCCCAGGGGCACTGCAGGTGTCTGAGGTGTTGGATTCAGCAGCCCCTCAGGTGACGGGTGACAGCACCTGAGTCCCTGCCAGCTGCAGCAGTTCTGGCCACCCAGACACAGAGCTGGGGGCACACGGAACCCCAGGCCCCCGACCTCCCCAGGGGACACCCTGAATCTCCCACAGTTCCTACCCGCCGCCTCGTCCCCATGTGTTGTGGGTGTGTCGTGGGTGTGCCAGAGTCTGTGCCCCCGTGTGTCGTGGGTGTGCCAGAGTCTGTGCCCCCCACCCCATGTGTCATGGGCGTGCCAAGGTCTGTGCCCTGCCCCCTCGTGTGTCGGTGTGCTGAGGTCTGTGGCCCCCGTGTGTCTTTCCGCTGACCGCACCCCCTTTGTCCCACGTGGATTCAGGGGCAACCTCTTCACGCGGACACTGAGTGATATTGTGAGCAAAGAAGACTTTGTGCTGGATTCTGAGTATCTGATCACACTTCTAGTCATCGTCCCCAAGTAAGTGGCTGGAAGGTGGGCGGTTTGGGTCTCGGCCTGTGTGGGTGATCATGGAAGGAAACTGGCGCTGCCTGATGGAGAGGAAGGAGCCCCCACGGCCCGGATCCCGGCCCTGGGTGGCGGCCGTGCGGCGGCAGCAGGCGCGAGGCACGGTGCCTGTGCTGGTGGCGGCAGCGGCTGAAGCAGCCGTGTTTTGAGCGCCTGCTCAGTGCCGGATGCCACGGACAGGCCCGTTTCACTCACAAGCCTTGGGCGTGGGGGTGGCCGTGGTCACTGTCTATCCCAAGGCCACCGAGGGCCAGGATTAGCAAGTTCCCAGTGGCTGTCGCTGGCTGAGTCCTTCACACAGCCTCCTCCGTGGTGCTAGGGCCTCGCGGGTTTGGTTTGCTGGATGGGGCTGGGCAGTGGGTTCCCAGTGCCCATGGCTGGGCCTCAGGGAAGGTTTGGGGCTCTCTCTAGCGCCAGCGCTGCTCACCTGCGTCCTTCAGGAAAAGGGGTATCCAACTTCCTAAACACTCAGGTCACCCCACAGCCTTTTCTGCAGAACTCACTGAACCATTCTGTGTTGTCACAGACCAAGCTACACAGAGTGGCAGAAAACCTACGAATCCCTCTCGGACATGGTAGTCCCTCGGTCGACCAAGTAAGTGAGACCCCAGCTTGACCCCAGAGCCCTGGGAAGCACGTGTGGGTGCTCCGGGGCACCAAACCACCAAACACCGTGCCCGCAGGAGCCCCTCGGCCTGGGGTTCCTTCACGGCCACACACGCAGTTACGCGCCGGACTCCGTCCATCTGTCAGGACTCCGCCTCCCTGCCCCCTCCTCCGGGAAGCCCTCCTTGACTACCCTCCTTGGCTGCACTCCACTCTGCTTCCCCACCTGAGAGTCAAGGAAGGGCCTGGCCACGGTGGCTGCCGAGTGGGGCAGGGGCGGGAAACAGTCTCTGCATGTGGCCTGCTGGGGCCAAAGCGGGAGCGGCTAGCGAGGGCCGGAAAAGTGCCAGAGGGAAAAAAGGGATACAGTCACACCATGAACACCACACAGCTGGGGAAACCAGGGGTTGGGAGTTGCCATTTATTTAAGGTTTAAAAATGGACGAAACTAAACCACGTGTGACTTGGGCCTCTGCAGGTGCAGAGTAGAATTATCGGGGTGTTTGGGGATGAGAAACGCCAAGCTCAGCACAGGGGTGACCTCGGGGCAGAGAGCAGAATGCAGTTAGGAGGACATGGGTTTCTGCTGAACGAAGACTGTTTGATGTCTGAGCTGGGTGGCGATACCTAGGAACTGGTCACTCTTTATGCCTTTTCATATGTCTGAAATAGCCTTGTAATTTTAAAAGCTTTGCCCGTGAGGCTTGGGCAGCCATGCCCACTCATCTGCCTCCCAGCACACAGAGCTCGGCCTGCGGGCGGCCCTGCCCACTGCCATCCCAGCCCGGAGGCCTCTGGCCTGGGGCGTCGGCTGCAGGGCTGGCTCTCCCAGGCTCATGACTCACAGGAGATAGCGATCGGGAGCTAGGCTGAGGGGTGCAGGGAACAGGACAGTCACAGCCTGAGGTCACATGAAGGAATGGGCCAGGAGGGGGCACAGACTGGCGGAGGAGCTGGCCCTCGACGCTGGCCTGACTGGCAAGAGCGCACGCTGCTGTCCAGCGCTGCCCCTCTGTGGCCGGGTGCCGGGGACTCCACCTGGGGGAGGCTTGGCCTCTCAGACCAGAACCTCCGGACCTTGCACTGTCAGTAGGCACCTGAGGGTCGGCAGGGGTGACTCTGGAAAGGTCTCTGGAGCCCAGGGTCAGCCCCTGCGAGTGCAGGCTCTGAGAAACAGGAAAGGTGACCCACCCAGCATGCCACCACACCCCGCCCGGGCCCGAGGGCTCCCATTATTGGGTCCTCTGGCCAGCGGGACTCAGAGATGCTTGAACCACTGGCCCCAACAACCCCATGTCCTTGGGGACAGTGGCCACCGTGGTTTTACATTGAGGCGTACCGGGAGGCTGTGTCTAATTGGAATACAGCGACACTGGACGTGAAATGGCCTCTGGGAGATGGTTTCCACCGCACTGCTTCATTGTGACCGTAGCGTGTCAGGCCCAGGGGCCCCTGGGTGCACATGGGGTGGCAGACACCCAGGAGTGGCATTTCATAAATAGGAGCCAAAGCCCAGATCACTGTGCATAGCTAGACTGCAACCCCTTCCTCCCCTCAAGGCCCTGTGCTTACATGGCCTACAGGCCACTGAGCCTTAGCTCGGAGGGTGAGTGAAGGACAGGACAGGAGGGGGAATGGCAGGCAGCCAAGCCACAGGGCCAGGAGTCAGCAAGTCATCGGGGACAGCCTGAGTTTCCCCACCCTCAATGCTGTCGGGGCCCCTATGCCAAGGCCACCAGGCTGAGGGTGACAGGAGCCACCTCTGCAGTGACCTACCTCCTGAGGGAGAGGACGGGCCGTGCCAGCCGGCTCCAGAATGAGGCCTGGGAATGAGTCCCCATGTGACACTTCTCTCCAACAGGCTGATTGCTGAGGACAAGGAGGGCGGCCTCTTCACAGTGACCCTGTTTCGAAAAGTGATTGACGATTTCAAAACCAAAGCCAAAGAGAACAAGTAAGGCCTCGGCGGCTTCCCCGGGGCCTCCGCTCCCACTGAGCCTCGTAGCAAAAGCCTCTCGTTCTCTCGTTTCAAGGTTCACTGTCCGTGAATTTTACTATGATGAAACAGAAATTAAAAGGGAAAGGGAAGAGATGACCAGATTGCTGTCCGATAAGAAGCAACAATATGTGAGTACGCGATGCAGGCTGGCGGAATTTCAGGCAAGACGTTCAGCGGCCCCTCCCGCTCCCTCCAAAGGCCTCCGTTGTCCCCAGTCCCCTGGGAGCTGCTGAGGAACATGTGCTCTCCTGGGGCTGCCAGAGCAGGGTCAGGGGACAGGCGACAGGCACAAGTAATTGTGGAGGCGGCGTCTGAACCGTGGCCTTGGCCTTGGGTGCCTTCTGTGCTAGATCCCACCAAGGCCCGGCATCGCCTTTCCTGGAGGGGATCGTAACTTCATTTCTCGGATGAGAAGTTGAGGCTCTGAGAGGTTAGCGAGCCTTGGCCCGGGGAAGGGGACCCTGCTCGATGCCCCTGAGGTCCAGCGAAGCAGGCAGTGCCACCGCCTCGTTGAGTGAGGCCTGCGCTCACCCTGCTGTGCTCAGCGGTGTGGTTCCCAGGCGTGATGTGGCCGCCTCCATCACCAGCACCTGGATCCACCTCCCTTATGTTTTTAGTAAAGAGTGGGTGCTTATCCTTGAGACTTCTGACGACAGCCACTCAGAAACTTTTCATGTGTGAGGGCAGCTGAGCTCAGGAGGGAAAAACCAAACTTTCCTTTTTTGGAATGTTAAAAAAGTGTGGCCTTGGGAAAGTCATTGCCGCTCTGTAAAACACAGGCACTCCAGCCACAGGGCCTCCAGGGGCAGAGTGGGGCTAAGCCGGTGGCTAAGCGGGTGGGAAGCTTTCAGTCCACTCGCCGGGGAGGTCCTGGGAGCACCGAGCTCTAGTGCAGAGAGGAGGACGGGAATGAGGAGCATGTGCTCCAGGCCTCTGGGAGGAAAGTCCCTGCTTGAGTGAAGAACAGGAAGTGCTTCCTCCCTCCCCGGCGGCCGAGTGTTTGCCCGGAGCCTCCCCGACATCGGCTGGGGGCTCTGCACCCCGGGCCTGACCTGTCTGTGTCAACAGCCTTTTTAGAGGGACTGCAGGCAAGTCGCCCCTCAGGAGTGAGCACCAGCCATGGGGCCCCCAAGATGGGGTTCACAGCCCCATTGGACTGGCCTGTCCCCTTTGAGAGAAAATGGGAACTGATCCCATGAACGTGCCCGTGGGGGACTTTAACCCTCCTCCCCTCAAGCATAAGCGCATGCGCACACACGCGTGTGTGTGTGGACATGTGTGCACACCAAACGGACTCACTCACTTCTCAGACCTGAGACAAAGGGCCGAGCCTGAGTCCTGGGTCCCGAGGCCTCAGACCCACCTGCCCAGGCGGGAAAGGGGTCACCAGCCAGAGTTGAAACCCAAAGGCTTCCTCCTGGTCCGAGGCCCTGACCCCGGGAATGCTTCCGCAGGCTCTGTAGTTGACACTTTTCCCAGTTGCCTCAGTCCTGGCCCATGCTTCCTGCAGTGTGTCTGGATGGAAACCAGATAATAGCAGCTTCCACAGGGGCCGGGCTGCAGGCCCTGCCCAGCGGACAGGTGGTCAGGTTGGGCATTTGGCACCCGCCTATGTGCTGGCACAGACCCCCGAGTATCAAGGCGACACATGAGCCCTACACCTGCCACCTGGGTCTCAGGTTGCCAGCTGGTGATTTTTTACACGGTGTGGACTTCTGCACCCCTACACTGCCCCAGGGAGTCATGCCAGGGTATCTTTGTGGGGCGTGGGGGTAAATGGCGTTTTGAAGGAGACACTAACTCAGAAGCATTTAGTCCCTTTGAGGCTCTCGCTGTGTGTCAGTGAGCAGGGGACAGCTGGGGGCAGCTGCGCCCCAGCATCTTTAGAATCTCTTACCCCCCAGCCTGTTTGGAGGTGGGTACGGCAGCATCCTGCATCCTTCTGGCGGCTTGTCAACCAGAGGGGCCGGGCCGGGCCCCAGGTGTCGTCACTTCCTTTTGAGAGCGCAGGGTAGGATTTTCCTGAGCTTTCTACTTGTTTGAGAGACTGAGGATAAAGGGTGACGTGTCCTAGCAGCATGACCGACCGGTGTTTTGCAAGTAGCATGCTTAAGACCATCCCGATTTCCAAGGAGGCCACTGTGGGCTGGGCTTGGTGGAGACACCTCGACCGAGCCAGACAGACAGACGGCTCCACAGGCACCTCCCAGAGCTGTCCCTGTCCTTGTCTGCTGATGCGGGCAGGCCCTGACCCAGGCCAAGCAGAGGCAGAGATGTGGGAACTGACCTCTTTGCTAGCAATTGATTGGCTCTTTCCATGGAATGTGGAACCCAACAAAGGCTTTAATACCCCTCGGGGGCCGACATTAACCCGTCACGTCTCCAGTCCAGCCAGCACCCAAGTCCGAGGTTGGGCCAGCGTTCTCGAGCTTGCCTTCCCGTGCTTTTCAGGCGATGAGATTTATTTCTGTGTATTCATGATGCATGTTTCCTGAAAGATTAATAAATCATTTCTGTGCCTTTAGCAAACTTCCTGTGTTGCTCTTAAAAAGGGATCATCCACCTTCCCGGACCACAAGGTTAAGGTAACCCCGCTAGGTAACCCTGATAGGCCAGCTGCGGGGCACACCGACAGAGAGAGAGAGAGTGAGGGCGAGGGTGAGGTAAGCAACGCCCCTGGGAGCCCCGGGGTGCCCTGGCTCGCATGTCCTCGCCAGCGCAGGCATCTTCTGAGAAAACAAATCCTTGCATTTCCTGTTACCTAACACGGCTTCGATTCGAGGAGTCCCGGACAATCCCTTCTTCCTAATCTGTGGGGCCTTCTTTGGGGCTGCCACCCCCAGCAGTGGATGGTGCTTGGGGGCCAGGGTGCCTCTGCCCCGCCTGGAGGTGGCTGGAGCTGGTGACGGGGCAGGCCCTGGCTGGGGGAGGGTGGCTGGGCGGCTCCGCTGTCCTGCCCAGGCTGGACCCACCCCTGACCTGTGCGAACAGTTGGAGGTCTCAGGTGGGAGCTCAGAGTCTTTGCTCCAAGACTCTGAGATCCCTCAGATGACCACACCTGCATTAGTGACAGCTGCCACGGCCCTGAGGGGCTGTGGGCATGCGAGGGGCCCCCAGGGAGCGGCAGCAGGTGGATGCCCTGCAGCCCGGGCCAGAGCCTTCCAAGAAGGTGGGCCTCTTGGCAGTACAGTGTCAGATGGAAGCCTGTCAGCCACATGCTGAAAGCCCTTAGGTCAGGGGCTGCCCAGTCCCCTGCGGCCCAGCCCGAGATGGCCCCACGCATGTGCCAGGTGGCTGCCCGCTGAGCTTCCCTGGCACCAGGCGCTGTGCAGAACGCGGCCCTCGGCCTTGCCTGGGCCCCGTCCGACCAGCTCGCTGCTTCTGCCGGCCCCTGGCATTTCTCAGCTCAGGGCTCGCTCTGTCAAGCCTGTGTCTTTTCTTGGAGTGGCATTGGGTGGAGCAGCCCGGAGGGGTCACGGCTCTCCTGTCTCCGCAGGGCCCCCTGCTGCGCTGGCTCAAGGTGAACTTCAGCGAAGCCTTTATTGCCTGGATCCACATCAAGGCGCTGAGGGTGTTTGTGGAGTCCGTGCTCCGGTAGGTGGAGGAGGTTTCCGAGCTGGGCTGTCCTGCAGGGGGGCGGCCGGGAGGAGCCAGCTCCGGGGTCACCGAGGCTCCCCACTTCCGGCCCTTCCAGCCTCAGGACGTTGTCCTCTGCTCCTCCTGGCTCTTGGCACCCCATTAGGGTTTCCTGAGTCCAATGAACCTTCCCTCCGCTTTGAGGCCCCCTGCTGTCCGGTGCTCTCCGGTGCTCTGTCCCTTTCCTGCTGGACTTGGGGCAAGTGTCCCCTGCTCTCCCCAGCTGGCTCTTCTGCGCACCTCTCCCCACAGCCCACCAGGGTCCAGGGACTCCTGGAAGAAACACCAGCACTGTCTCGGCCTTGACCTCTGAGGCCCAAACCCCAAGGCAGCACAAAAAGTAAAACCCAAACCAGATCAAACCACCAAAACTTATTTTGCCTTTTTTTTTTTTTAACAAAAGCAAAATAGGTTCACTGTGGAAATTTGGGAAACTATAGGTAAGCACAAAGGATGAATAAAAATCACCTGAAATTTTAACACCAAGAGGAAAATGCTACTAACATGCTTGTGTGTATTCCTTCGGATTTTTGGTTTTTTGGCTTTTAAAATTTACAGATATGAATAATTTTTACTAAATTTTCATGAAAACGGAATCAAACAGGAAGAGCTTTTCGAAGCCTGCTTCCGTGCCGCGCTTCGAGCGCGTGCTGTGTCGCGAACACGTGGCTGGCCGCCCGCTTCTTCCGGGTGCTCCCCAGCCCGCGGGCCCTCTCCGGTGGTCTCCCTGGCCCCTGCCCCGCCCCACCGCAAGGTGCCCCAGGATCCCCCGCAGCCACCCACCTGGCCGCCAGCTGTCCCTGTCCCCCCTTGCTCCCCGCGTGTCATCCTCCCACCATAGACTTCTCCCGGCTCATCTTCCCTCCCAGCCCCTCCCTCAGGGCCAGCTTGGACGCCTCTGCGGCCCCGTCCTCACATCCCGCCCCCGCCTCGCCCTTGGACAGGCCGGTCCAGGCTGCCTTTGCTCTTCCTCCTCCGCGTCTCCCGCCTCAGCTTGCCTGGCTGTCGCCATGACCACCTACTTGGTTTCTGCCTCCAGTTAATCCCCCTCATGGTTGCCAGGGCGGTTTTGTCCGAAGATCAGATCTGACCGTGGCTCCTCACCCTCTCCGCCCCCCATCTCAGAGGCTGGGAATGCGCAGGATTGTGGTGCTGGGTTGAAAGGCGTATTCCAGCCTGGAGTGTTTTAACCCTCCATGGTGTAGACGGGCCCTAGGCCGCCCCTGCTTGCCTCGAAAATCAGTGTTGTGAATACCGCTGTAACACATAAACACTGTAAAAAATTCAGGCTTGGAAGTAAGTATGTGCTGTGGGAGGAGCTCCTCACCGTCCCACTGCCCGCGGAGAATCACCGTGAACGGTGAATGGTTTCAAGTCTTCTTATCCCACAAATGGCACCATTTATACCTAATATTCCGAACTTGCTTTCTTCACCAGCTTTGTGTTATAGCCTCATCAGTATGCGTAGAGCTATTTGATCCTTTTAAAAGGCCTCTTCGCATTCCATCCTATGGCAAGCGCATAATCTAAGAACGTAGATATTGAACATGCGCATTACAGCAGACAGGCACCGTTCCCCTGTCCTCCCTCCCGGAGGGCTTTGCCCCAGTTCGTGCTTGTTGCTCTGTCTTCCTTCTCTCAACGCTTTCTGACCTTTTTCCTACACTGGGAGCTGCAGGGGAGGACTCGCCTCTCTACCTGTGTTACCTGGCCCAGCGTAGGTCTGTGGATAGAATAAGATCGAAGTGAAGTGGACCCCACCCTCAGCTGAGGAGGCGCTAGTTCATCCTCGGGGTGGTGAGCCAGGGGCTTCCATCAGCTGAGATGAAATGCAGATGGGCCTCGCTGGGCGGTGGGCTGTGGAGAGATTGGGGAAGGCCGCCAGGGAGCCAATTATCCTGGATCTTGGGCCAGGTCTTTCGTGGGGAACAGAGATGACTGGTGTGTGTGGCTGAGGTCACCTAGGGAGTGCCACATGGAGGGAAGGTACCAAAGGGGCCTCTTAGCCCCAACGTCTCAGGAGTGGAGGCAGAGCCGTGAGGAAGTCGGGCGGGAGGGCACGTTTGACAAGTCAAGGGAGGCGAAGGTCAAGGTTCTAGATGTCCCTGGTCGTTGGTGAGTGAAGCTCGAGCGTGTTGGCAAAGATCGGGTGACCTAGGACACTGGATACTGAAGTTTGGCATGAAAGCTCTAGGGAGTTAGGAAGAGGAGGGGACAGCAGCAGAGAAGGTGGAACCGCAGCAGGGAGGGGGTGGCTCCAGTATCCTCAGTGCGTGGGGTGCAGGCCGAGGCAGGGCTGGCGCCCGGTTACAGGGGAAGCAATCCCAGCAGCCCTCTTTCCCCTTTCCGCAGATCAAACAGATCTCAGTATTTCAGTGAACGCTTTGCACCATTAGCGGCAGAGACGAGGACTGAGAACGTTTGGGAGCCAGCCAGGGGATACTTTAGGGACACTGAATGGGAAATAAAAACTAAGAGGAACAGATCTTGCCCTTATGAATCACTTGCATGTCAGGCAAGTCCAAGCGTGTTAGCTTAAGGACTGCTTTCACACACCTGGCTTGGGAAATACTGAAGACGCACAGGTGATTAGACAGACGTCCGAGCACCTGCTGATAGAATATTTAAAAAAAAAAAACACTGACAGTCACAAAATGTTTATTATTTATATGGTATTCGGTTATCCTTGGACAACACCACAGGAGTAGCTGCCGGCAAGTGATTTTAAATGTACTCAGGCATACGAAGTCCATTTAAAATCTTTTCTATCTGTCCAAAAACTCAGCAAAAGAACAAGCTTGATAAATCGTATATATTTTGCTGCTCTTTTAGTGGAGAAAAATCAGCTAAGTCGGGTTTTAGACAAATGCTTTGGGTCGGAACAATCAGTCCAATTGCTCCATTCACCCTGGGCACTCACACCTAATGAGGCTGGGGATGACCCCCTCAGCCTCTTGTCGAGAACTCTCAGTCACAAGTGGGCTAGCATATTCTAGATTTTTCTCTCCAGAAAGATCCAATAATTTGTTTTACCCAACCCTAGACCTTCTGCTCAACTGAGTTTTCTCAAGCTACGCTGGCTGAAGGTTTTCATTCTTATTAGAATGAACTCTGTATTTCTTGCCCAGTCATTTTACCCATTTGTGTAACTTATTTTCGCATTTTATCTGAGAAGGTACGGACTCCCAGTGAATTTTCAGGCCGTGCTCCTCCAGCCTCATAAGAAGTCAGCCACCAAGCGGTTAAGAGAGGTTCTGAACTCTGTCTTCCGACATCTGGATGAAGTGGCAGCTGCGAGTGTGCTGGACGTAGGTCTATGGCCCCGAACTAGGTGCTTTCTACAGTCAGGTCTGCCTCTCCACGTGGGAAATACTGTCACCAAATGGTACTTGCCGGACTGTTGTGAAGCCTACATTTCACAAATATGAACGTAGAAGAGGCCGTGGGTGTGTGTTGTGTGGGGGCCGGGGGCCGGGGGGCTGTGCAGGGCAGATGATATGGTCAGTGCCTAGACGGCTTCCTCGGAAATATGAAGGCCAAACCGGAAGCTGGTTTACGCACTTGGAACATTACCATGTCTTCTTTTGTAGGCATCGGTGGAGATCCCTGGGTTGCAACTCAATAACCAAGACTATTTTCCTTACGTCTACTTCCACATCGACCTCAGTCTTCTGGACTGAAATGACGCGCGGGCACCACCTGGCCTCGTGTCCGTGCAGACGACAGACGCTCCCTTCCCTCAGCAGAACAGTTTCGGTGTCCTCCAGAACTTAGCTTTTTAGAAAAACTGCCCACGAAAGTTAGTTACAGTTGTATTTATTTTTTGTAAGTTACAATAAAGAAATGCTCTCAAGTCCTTTGAATCGTGTCTTCACGTATATTCTAACATAATTCAGAACTTCATTTCCTGAATGTTTTACATAAATGGGAACTACATGTAAATTGGTGACCTGCTGCTGTATCTCACGTCTTAATGGACATTTTGTGAAGACTAGTAATAACATGAAAAACCTTGAGCTAACTGTATAACCAGCTATACTCCCTAGTAGTCACTGGTAATGGCCCAAAGAAAAAATATTGGGCATAAAACGCAGTTCTCAATCGATAACCCCCTGCTTTTTCATCCTTCTATATAAACTCGCTTTACATTTGATATTTACAGATAGAACTTGGCCTTGCAGGACGCATGTAAAATCTGTGTTGTGGCAGGCATCCGGACGGTGTCATCTGAATCACAAGTTTATAGAAAGGAAAGACATCGGGGTCATCCTTTCATAATATTAATTTACTGGCTAAACATCAGGCTGAATTTACGATGTGGACACTAATTTCATACATTTGTTGACATTGTCCAAAATATTTATTCTTTAATGGAAAAGAGCCATTAGTATTCAAATGAAAGAAATCACATAAAAAACTTACATAAGAAACAGCCTCCAAGCACACTCAAGCAGCAGTCAGAGGGAGGAAAGTATTTCAATAGCCCATCAGTTTTTTCAAAATGTTACTTGACAGAATACAACCCAATTCACTGGCTACAATTCATAGAATTTTTCACTGTTTTCTCGAGATGCAAAAGTTCACTGTTGCAGTGTTTTCAAATGACCAATCAAGTGCTACTTCTCGATTAAAAAGGCCACTGGAAGATTCATCTGATTGTAAAGAACGTTCCGTCACTGCTGGAAAATCCGCTCCCAAGAAAGGAAAACTGAAGCCTATGCGGAGCCTCTCACAACTCATCTCTCTCTAAGTCGTCCAGCTCCACGTCACTGAGGTCAATGTCGTCTTCCACGGGAAGCTGCAAAGCAGAAGCCACTGTCAGGCTGTGCGGGGCTACCGCAGAGCCACAGGTGGGGCGGCCTGCGAGTTCAGCCGCCTCACCTTTCGGGGGAGCAATCGCATGCCTAGAGGTCCCCTGGGTATGTTTTTGCCCAATCCAGGCCTATTACATAGGTGTCCAAAAAGCTGAGAACTTACGTGAAACATGGTTCTACTGACAGCTATTTACCTTGGCCTTTCCAGGAGGATATAGCAGAAGTGTACTGGGATAAATGCTAATTTCAAAGCCACATCTGACATTTCCATAGGGGAAGTAAATGAATCTGGGGTAATAATCAGGAAAGTAACCTCACTCTTGACATTGATCTTGGTCGCCTCTGTCAAGAACACCAAACACCACGTAGCGCTTACTAACGCGGAGGATGGGATGGAAGGTCTTGAGATAAAGAACCTCCCGGAAGGCCTATGCGGTTACGGTATTTCTGGCGTCACGCCAAGGCTTGAGCCCGCTGGAAAGGATCTGCTTTATAAGTAGCAAAGATGCACAAGGATTGGGAAGGTAAAAAGGATGGACGGGAGTTCCAGTGACACGTCCCGTGCACACGGCCTCGGTCCTGGACACTCACCTCGCCATCCTTGCCATCCCAAGGCTCTCTGGTGCTGATGGCGGGGAACGCGCCCCCTCCTACAGGCGCCGTAGATCCACGCCCAAAAGAGAGCTCCCTTGGGAACAAGAGCGAAACAAACACACGCATTACGACAGACTGCTGGTGCGGATGAGGACACAACTTGGAAAAGAATGACTTGCCCGCTACGTTTACGTAGAGCCATTTCTCACAGCTTGCTCTGGAAAGACACTTCATGGATAGAATTATCTTTTCAATCAGGGACAACACAACCAGGCAGGAAATTCCTCAGGCCTCGGCATCAGACCAAGACAGTTACTACCAAAAATTTGAATGAAAGCAAATGTACTTTGGTAACATACAAATTAATTATGTGAAAAAGACTTTCTGAAAGATGGTATGGTAAAACTAAAATTCCATTCCTTTTCTCGGGTTCTCATGGCGAAAAGAAGCACTTAAAACGGCCCTCTCAATGATCTGCAGATGACAGTGACACTTCTGTCGCGTCTCAAGCTCTGAGGCAGACAAGAGTTGTTCTGTGGAAGGGCATGCTGGCTCTTGCCTTTGGCAGGTACTGACAGAAAACATTTCACTGGGAAGATGCAGAGGCAGCCCCGGCCTGAGAACAAGGCTTCTTTAGAGGCGCCTCCAAGACCCCTGGCGAAAGGGGCTTGGAATCTGAGTAAATGGAAAAAACCCAAACAAGGTATCACATTTCCTGTATGCGTTGGCCAACGATTATCTGCACGGTGGGAAAACTGGCAATTGCTATTTTGCATTTTTGACAATGTATATCCGTGGTTCTTAAATGGGGGCGATTTTAGCCTCCAGGGGACGTTTCTCAATGTCGGGGGACATTTTTGATTGTCACGACTGTGTGTGGCGGGGGGGTGGTGGTGGTGGTGGTCTACTGGCATTTAGGGATAGGGGCCAGGGATGCTGCTAACCACCCTACAGTGCACAGGACAGAGAAAGAACTATCTGACCCGAAGGTCGAGAGTGCCGAGGCGGAGCTTTCTCCCCTGGTGACCAGGGGGCTTGCTGCTGCCTCCGAGACAGCAAGTTTGAGAATCAGTGGCCTGTGTAATCTCAAGGGCAAAAGTTACTGCCTCAAGTTTACAACATACTAGTGTTTTCTGTACCTTTTCCATGAAGCATTTACCTCCTCTGAACTAAGATAAAAACCAGCTGGAAAAGGAAAACTGGTTGAAAATAAACGTGAATAAAATTAAAGCTGGGGTTTAACTGAATTCATCATTTCCAGTAAGTGAGCCCAAAGGCGTATTCTCATTGTTCCTTATGACTCTCACACATGTCCTAAGGTTTTCAATATTGGAATTCGCGGCTGCAAAGGATGAAGTACATTTAAGGAGTCTCCCCATCGATGCGCCGCGTCCTGTTCCACAGTAAGCTTCCCGAGGGCAGAGAATTTTTTCCTAAATGGAATTGATCCAGAGATAAAATTCAACCATTCATTCATAGAATATTTCCCAGGAGCTCACTGTCAGCCAGACTCTACAGTAGTGACTGGAGATAAAGTTCTGTGTAAAAGTTTCACCGTGTGGAACTCAGTTATGGGAAAGAGGCATTAATCAAATTACCACACATCTGAGAAAAAGTGCAAGGTCAATCAATGCCTTGCATCTGTCTAAAATGACTCAGTTTTCGGATGAGGCAAAGAGCAGGGCAGCACAGAGAGCGCTGTACGTTGGTTTTGAGTCTGAGAACCTATCACGTCGTTGCCCAGTGGCGGTCACTTAAGTACGTCCGCTTTCAAAGAACTACATCCTGAGGCCACTGCCCAGAAATGGAAATTAAATCATGTGAGGTCAAGGATACAAAGCATGCTTGGGTGGGAACGGGTGGCACGGGGCTGCTTCGCGCCCGTGAGACCTTTACAAGAATCAGGACGAGCCCAATGCCAAGTGCACGGAATGACAAGATAACCCGAGAAGAGGAAAGCATTAGCATCACTCACTATGTAGACTATGTCCACGAAGAGAAAAAGGCACAGGAAGATGACTGAAAAGCTCAAAGTAATAAACATGTAATTTTCCAGAATGTCAAATACAAAAATAATTCCTTTTATTGCCTGATCTATACAAACCTAGTTTCAAACCAAAAGTACAACAGAACCAAACAAAACGACATAAAAGAGTAAAAAATTACCTGAGAAACTCATTAATGCCTTGCTCACTGAACGATCCCTTCAGAAGAGCGAATTTCATCTTGCGTGCGTTGATGGCTGCCATGGCGGGGTATCCGAACCCCCCAATCCCCAGCGCGTTCTCAAGTTCAGACTGGGCTCCAGCTTCTGTCCATAGCCACCTAGAGGAGCAGACTGGTTTCAGGGCAAAGATTCCTTTCAAATTGGAATCCAGCTAGCAGATCTTAAAGAACGAAAGATTACACTTGTAATATTTTATGGAATGAAATGGGTCTAGGAATAAAAAACAAAAGGTTAAGTTTTAAAAAATAACATTCTAGACGTGCTCTTAAGTAACTAAAGCTCCTCTCTCTGTTCCCTAAACCCTGACTCCGGAAGCCTCCCAAATGGACTGTTTGCCCTGCAGTCGCCAAAATACTGTCCGCTAAACCTCATGAATTTTCTCTGTTCACTTACATGATCATTTAGGTTATTATGCATCTTCTTTAAAAAACGTAATAACTTCTTTTTTAAAAGTTATGGGTATGTCATTATCCGATACATATAAAAATGCACAACCAAATTTCTTAACTTCTGCACAGGGGAAAATGAAAAACTTCGCAACGCAGCCTCCCATAGGCACACGATAATCTGAACTAACAGAGATGCCAAGTCACTGTGAGCACAGCGGGAGTGCGAGGTACCCAGGACCGCAATAAACACTGAGGATGAGAAGCAGAAAGATAAATGGCCCTCACTTAGAAGAGGGTAAAGGACCAGGCCTCGAGTTCTTCCTTCTCCGTCTAGCCTCCGTCTAGGCCGCAGGAGAACTCGGCCGTGTTACTCAGTAAATTTTTGCTTGCTAGCCTGGAACCCCAAGCGGCATTTACACAGAATTTCTGTGAGAAAGAACATGCTGTGCAAATAAGTGCCCTATAAATAAGACACCTGCATTATTTTTCTTCCTATGTGATAATTATTTTTATGTCCTAAATAAAAAACAAGCCAGAGCGACAAAGGGACACATCCTAGAGAACACACAGGGAGCCGGACACTCTGAAGAAGCACTACTTTCCTACCCAAACGATGCTGAGGTAGTAAGTTCAAACCTTACCCCCACATTTTCTTTTTGTATTTGTCTGCCAATTTCAGAAGAACATCCAAATAAGAATTTCTGCCTGCAGCTCCTGATTTAAAAACAAAAATTTTTAAAGATTAAAAATAAAGGAATCTGTAACGCTGATTTAGAAAGTGTTCTCAGAACAGGCAGCACAGGACCACGCACACAGTTTCTGTCCAGCGTACCAGTATCGAGAATATGCGGCAGCACGGCCACCACGCAGAGCTGATGCTCCTCACACGTCTTCTTGGCGATGTCCTCGCTGATGATCTGTGGGACCCAGAAGACAAGGGATGGTTGGAAGGCCGCGTGACAAAAGACCGGAGGTAAGCTTGAAAACAAAGACTAGAACCATCGCTTTCACTAAAGAGCAGAGCAATGCAAAAGGTAGGTAAGACTCTTCTCAAGGAACACTTCCGTGTATGCTTTTTGTATAAACTCTACGAAGAATGCTCTGTGACAGGTTTCTGTTACTTATTTCTAAGCATCTCTCTGTGGTGGTGGAGGCACCTACTTATATACTGTCTGAGACGAGAACGCTGGGCACAGCCTGGTTCTGACACACAGACGTATTTATGTACATTATATATTTATATAGATGTGAGGCTCTCTGTGCCTCAGTTTCTTCATATGGAAAATGGAGATTAAAAATAGTATTTATTTTTAAGTGTTCCCGTGAGAATTAAATGAGAAAACTCTACATAAAAGCACCAGAACAATGCCTGTTACGTGGTTAGATGCTCAATAAATGTTAGCTATTATTTTGAGAACAAGAAATGAAAAGATCCACTCAGAAGCTTAGGTACAATTGCGTTCACGGTGTAATTATTTTGGTGCTAAACGTTATGAAAAGCAGCAATTTATCAGACAGGTTTCGCCCATTTGAAAGTACAAAAACACTTTAAAGAGCATTTTAAAAGAAGGAAAGAGCTCGATTGGAAAAGAAGAGGGTCATTACTGCTTTAACACCCCCACTATCAGCGCAAAGCTCTCCTTCCTACGGATGACTGACAAATGACTGACGGATGACCGATGGATGACCGACGTGGTTTACCTCGTGCAGCTCAGGAGGGGGCGCGTTATCAGAAAACAAATCGAGGGCCCGGGAAACGATGTCGGACCTTGTCCGCCCCCCGTCATAGTCCACAGGAGACTCGCCTTTCTGAAATATCTTGATAGTAGGAAATCCCCTAATCTATTAAAAAAAATCAAATTAACGTTTAATATGAAGTAAGGTAACCTTCACGGTTTCTAAAGCCACCTTCTAGGGAATTCGGTGGCATGAAAATACTCCCAGCCTGCGTTGACGGCTGAGGCACGACACACGGAGAGGTGTCAGTCAGGGGGCTTTACGGGGCTGGATGTCAGGCGTGGCCGAATCTAAGGCAAACCCTGGATATATACTTACTGTATCTGCTGTAGAACAAACGGACCAACCTCAAAAGCCCTATGGACAACTTGCAAAAGCTTGGGCAAGCTAAGGGTTCACAGTAAGCACAGAGTACGGGGAGAAAACAAACAGTCCTGACTTCCGGGCTTATTAGCTGTGAGTTTTAACAATAAAGTGACTTAATTTCTTCATTACACAAAGGCCAACCGTCCCCCCGCCTCCCTCGCAGGAAGGCCTGGCACACTGGATGAAGTCAGAGCCGGAAGGAAATCTGTGTGTTTCACAAGGAGTGGGCCTCGCGGACAGACTCACCCCGTATCGGCTGGAGAGAACCTGGTTCGCCGTGGCGTCCACAGCTGCCAGCTTCACTTTTCCTTTCGTTTGCTCTTTGACCTCAGTAGCTGCAGCGGCCCATTCTGGCTCTAGGCTACAGAAAAATATTTGCAGTCAGCCCGAAAACCTGGACCGACGTGTGCGCTTCTGCCCGACTCAGTCACGTCACACCTGGACAGCATTCCCGCGCATCTTTATGCTACCCTTTGCGTTTGCTTCCCAGTGCTTGTCACTGCCCCCAAATTTGCTAGCTCCCTGTTAATCTTTGAAAATATGACAGAGAAAACTCTCGGCACTAATGCCAATGTTTAACAGTCACTTAGAGTCAGAGCTTTTTGGGAGGAGACTTCGGTGACATCTATGATCTGGTTCAGCTCTTCCAGAGGGAGCTCCACACACTTACATGTGGAATCTAAACACACACGAATGACCGAGCTCCTAGATACGGAGAACAGACTGGCTGCTGCAAGGGGCTGGGGTGGGGTAGTGGGTGAAGGAGGTCAAAAACACAAAACCCCAAAAAGCTCAAAGCAAGCTGGATGAATGTATTCAAAGCACCATGACTGCAAAATTACCTGGTAAAAAGCACTTACTTTTTGCAGTGTCCACACCAAGGAGCATAAAACTCAACCATCCAAACATCATCGCTGTCGAGGACGTTCTTATCGAAGCTGTCGTCGGTCAGCTCAATCACATCTTTCTTGCTTGAGCTTTCACTTCTACCCTGTAATTGCGACATTGAATATTAAACTACACGTGGCCGAACGAACTTGATTCCCAGTCTAACTGCACATATAAACAGTTGCTTCTACATTTTAACGAAGCTTTTGAATTTTTAAGTGAAAACTACTTTACTCAATTCGGGAACATTGTGTAATACAATTATTTTTGCTTGGTAAATAGTATTTACTTTCAAATACCAGTACATTCGGTATAAGATATACCTGAAGTCTGTCACTTGCTATTTTTAAGAGAAACTTCAACATGGCTCAAAGAATCACCTTAATGACACTATTCTAACTCACACTCAGGCACAGCTGTTTATTCCAGGATGTTATATGGAACTATTTACTATCTTTCCATAAAGTCTCTACCATTCAAGAACGCTACAAATAGCAGTTAACCCTTTTCTTTTTTCAAATAATTTTCTTCAGTACTAACCCTAAGAAAAGTCAATATTGCTGTACCGTTTTCTGTTGCCTTCGCCAAAAGCTATGGAGGCAGAAGAGACAACTGTGCTTATTAAATGTCTGAGTTTGAAGTAAAAGGCAAGAGCGTGAAATCTTGGCTAAGTCCTAAGTCTGCATAAAGAAGACAGTTTTTCTGGTCTCCTAAAAGTGAAGAGCTATTTTATCTATTTTGTCAGTAAGAATTTAACGCCTTTTCATAAGAACGTAAGCATATCATGGTTAAACTTCACATTTCAGACGAGGCCATCTAATATACCAATCCACAGCACAGAAACTTTTTTCTCTTCTTCCCCATGCATTTATGCGGAATTTTCCATAGATTTTCGGCTAACACAGATATAGGCCACGAGGTCATCTCGACGTCGATCTGGAGGACAGCTGGCCTCTCCCCCCACACTTTGGAGCTGCATGGGAGAGTGACCTGGAGCTCGTTTCCGCTGCAGTCCAAACTGCCTTATTTCAGACCAGGACCGAGGAAGGCCCTCCGGTGCCTGGTCCCTGGTCTGCCATGTGCCAAGATCCCTGGGACTGACTGGCTACGGTGACAGTGATATGAGGCGGCCAAATGGGCAGGCTGGAGAGCTGACTCTCTCGGGGGTCAGCAGACCCAACCTTCCTATTATTTTTTAATAGAAAGTTCACCATTTAAAATATTTTATAAAAACCTATCTTCCACAAGGGGTCCACGCTCAGGCTTCAAAATTTTCACAAACTTACTTGTCTTCCAGAACTGTAGCCGCCACCCCTCCCCGCAAGGCGGTCCTTTACGAGCTGGCGCACAGCGCTGAGAGCAGCATCTACGATGGCCTCACTGGTCCTGGCACCTACAGGAAGACAAAGGATGATCAGCTGGACGGTAGTGACTTTCACATTTCTGTCAGCTTCCTCCGATGTTCCACCAGGTTAGACGCCACCTGTACTGAGGACAGAGCCGCCTTCTCCCCAGAAAGCACTTCACACCTGGAGAACCAATCCCACGTCTTCCATTTTAGGTTATAAGTGTGAACAAGAACTTCCTAAGCACCTACAAATACCACCGACTAATGAGAGTAATTAAAAAGTGCTTCACCAGATAACAGGTATACACATGAATAAGAATCTTATTATCTAGTTCAGAAAGCAGAGGACATTTCTAAGTACAAAGTAGCAAATGAGAAAAGAGAAGAAACTGTTTCTATGAGATAAAGAAAAGACTGTGGAAAAAGTAGGATACGAGGTGTCTGAGGCCAAGTAACTGGAAAGCAGTCCAGGCCTCTTATTTCTATATTGCTAAAACGCTGTTACTTTGAGTGCCTAAGCTCTCTAGCTGAACTTACCCCTAACATAATAAAATACAAACCCCATATTAAGACCAGGTAATGACGACAGGCTTTGGAAATTTACCAAAACCTATCTTCTCAAGAAAAATCAAGAGGCTATTAACTGACTCACAGGTATAAGGATTATACAGGACATGAGGTAATCTTCAGGGTTTAAATGCAAAACTCTAACAAAATCTCTTCTGAAAAAAAATTTTTTTTTAAGAGTTTTCTAATCAAACTGACTAGGAAGAAAGAAAAACTGAGAACACCTCAGAGCTGACATTAGAAAGAAAACACAGCATAGCAACACCCAGAATATGTTCCAATCGGCTGGTGCTGCAGCCCTGGCGAGGCCACCAAGTGTGTCACCCCCCGTACGCATTTTGACTCCCCCCCGCGAGTGGTGAGGTACCAATGACACTGATATTTGCCAAGTCACATACTTTATGTGTACTGACTTTCAATGAATCTTCTAGTAGCCTAAAATGAGCCTTCACAGCCCCATTTTACAGATGACAAGCAGTACCGGGAATTAAGTATTCTGTTTAGTTCCAAAGTTGGAGAGTGGCGAGGCCTGCGGTAAGGCCAGGCCGCTGTCACCGAGTCCACACTCTAGGGACGCTGCACTCCCTTCGCATTGCCTTTCCTGGAATGTTTTCCCCACCAGCTGGGTACAGTGCGAGCCGCCAAGTACAGACAGCACAGTAACGCTTTATTTTACCGTGATGCTGACTCTCTCCTCAACCCCACTCTCCTGCAAACTTGTTTTTCTCATGTTTGACACTAAGTTTAGTCACATGTCCTGTGTAACAAAATCTTAAAAAATAATTGATCAAATAAGCCATTATTTAAACTTTAAATACATTATGTCCAATACTTTTTATTAAGACCATGACTATGGCTCAACCAAGCAATCTGATTATCTTAAAGATGATGATCTGTTTGTGGTATCTTAAATAAAATTATTCTATAAAAGAATGGGGCGACTAAAATAACACTTAGCCTTGAGAATTTGGTGCCAGAATTCTCTCTTCAGTTGCGTCAGTGACTAATAGCAGATACTCATGATTTACTTAGCTCCAAAACAGGGAGAATTTGTCGTATGTATTAGTAGGAATTTGGGAGACTAAAAGTTTTAATAGTATATGTTTACAAGGCATAAAGATTCACAGGCAAAATACTCCATAGTGATATCAACAGTCTAAACTGACTTTCAAATTCTAGGGCCTTCTTCTCCCACAATGCTAGGCCAGACCCTTTCCTATAGTAGAGGGAAGAGATCACAGCATGAAAATATTTAAAATCTTTATTAAATAGTATATGACTAGTATTTTTTAAAACATAACGAGTAAGACAAGAGAGAAACAGTGGGCCTAAGCTAGCATGAACACTAATAAAAACTTCTGCCTCTGTGGCACGTATTTACTCTTCAGAACAACTCAGGAGAGGCAGACGTCAGTCTGCGCCCTTTCAGGGCTCAGTGAATCTAGGCACAGAGGCGGAGGAACCTGCAGGCAGCAGGTTCTGGAAGTTCTGGAACAGGACCCCGCTCTCTCCTCTTCTTCCCCTACCTGTGCAAATGAAAGCTCCAGCCAGGGGAGGGCAGCACAAAGTCCTTACCCTGATAATCTTCTGGCTTGTTTTTGTTGGACCCGAAAATCTTGATGGTGGGGAACCCCTGCACTCCGTACTGCCCTCCGAGGGACTGATGTTTATCAGCATCAACTGCACCCACTTTCACAACATCCTGCGGGAACGGAGAAGAAATATGTTTTTCTTTCAACTGCAGCAGATTCCGCAAGGACCCATCACCTGATTTCTGTCGCCTCAGAGACAAGGTAATACGGGGCAGGGGCAGGTTTAAGGGCAGAATGAGTGCGGGCTTTACTGTGGGGCCGTTCTCAAGGGGAATGACGGGTAAAGAGGCTGGCCCATGGAGGGAACGCTGCAGCTCCCAGAATCAGCACGACGAACAGTAATTATGTCATTTATCTGATGGACAGAACTGACAAAAACGAACAACATAAAAATTATAATGTGTATTATGCCTTTGCTCCTCACACGGTTTTGGCACCAAAACAAGAGTTTTGAACTTCAATATGCAAATATGCTTTCTACTGTACATTAAAGCTATTTGCATACTCAATGTGGACATCTTAGAAACTTACTTTTAATGCCGTTGCTACTTTCTTCCATTCTGGTGTCAACCTTTGGCAGTGGCCACACCTTTTAGGGGATAAAAACACAAATAAGGCAACAGTTAACATCCTTGGTCACCAATTCAAAATCACCCTCCAACAGTCTACCGAGTGACAAGTACAGGGTGGGGGCTTACAGGGATTAAAAGCACTAAAAAAACATGACCAGTGACCACGAGCTCACCACTTTATGACTCTACTGCAATCCCTGTTCATCCTGTCCCTTAAACACGTTGCCAAGTTACTGCTCAGTTACAGTCCAAGAGTTTAAACAAACTCCATCACTCCGACCTCTAACTGTGAGCAGGGACTTTAGCATGTAGCTGGGCAAGTGTGCCGCACCGTGTGGTTTGAGTTTTAAGGCTGGGCAAATGTAGGTTCTTGGGCCCCAAGAAACCAGAGCTTCTAGAAGGAGTTCAGGAACCTGAACTTTAAGTTCAGGAACCTGTATTTTAAGTTCTGCTAGTGATTCTTAAACCTAGTAAGGCTTGCTATTCCCTGATCTAGCCCAACCTTTTCACTTTACGGATGAGGCATCTGTGTTAGAGCCCACATTTCCATGCGCTGTGGCTCCGGCAGCCGCTTGTGGAGCTGAAAACGCACTCGTAATCCCAAACCAGTAAACCTGACGAGTGGGAAAGCGACGGACACCAAAGGTGGTGGGAAAGAACAAGAGCGAGACGGAGAGAGACAGGACCATGAGGAAAACCAGCCTCCTCTTGTAGGGTCTGGCGTTCGAAAGTGTTGTCAACTATAACACACTTAGTGCTTTTAAAACACGACACACACACAAGCCTGTTCTGTTCGTACCGCTACGAAGAGCTAGACCGGTCACCGTCAGTGTTACGACACCCACCATTTGAGACGCCATAGTTTATCCACAGGTGATTTGGTTTTGTTTTTTTTAAACAAAGCAAATTCTCTTCTAATTAGGCCTCTGAAGACCTCATGAGGAATGGCCACGTGCCGGCAGCGTGACGAGCACTCTTCACACAGACTTCGTGTGAGCAGCACGCCAACCCTGGAGGCGGGCCTTGCTAGCTTCATTCTACAGATGACGAAACCGAGGCTAAGAGGTCAGGAAACCTGCTCGACATCACGCAGTCACCTGTGAGAACCTTCACACTCCGGGTCCCACATTCTCCATCACTATGGACCATCACCTTAATCCAGTACTTAAATTAAAAAGTCTGGCTCTTTCGAGGAAATGCCTGAAATGCTGCTTCTACATACTCACACATAGTATGCTTTGGTGTTTACGTGAGCTACTTACAAGTTCAGGAGTCGAAATCTGACAGGAATTTGTGCCTCTTTGTTTACTGTATGGAAGGGCTTGAATCAGAGATTGACTATACATTCCCTTCACTTTCAATGTTAAGCAATGTAAAGACAGATTAAGATGCTACGTAAATGTAAATACAGACTACCCCCAACCCGAGGCTCCTCCACCTGAGATGAAGACCACCAAAGCGTTGTGGATAAAAATTTAGGGGCTCTGTGACCTTTGATGGCAAATCTTCCCTCTATTTTTACCAACTTGTAATCGAAATTTAGGATTTCCTTCAATTATGAACATTAACAACACACCACAGCTGGTTAGTACCCGTGACTCTATCATTAAAAACATCACAGCCATTTCCCCGTCACCGCTGTGGCGTGGCACGTGCCTTCTGCGCACCGCACACGCTCGCTGCCCCCCGGGAAGCCTGCACGCAGCTGCCACGTCTGCTGCGGGATCTCGTCTTACTGTCCTAGCAAAGGAGGACTTCGTCGTCAAGATTTATTTGTATATTTTAATTGTTATTTTAATATTTCAGGTTTCCTTTGTGATCCAGTATGCTTTACTTCATACATTTAAACCTTTATTCCGGGAAGGGATCCATGGCCTTCACCGAGCGGCCAAAGTCCAAGCACAAAAAGAGGCTAGAAGCGCCTGCTCTAGTGGACACCCTCACGCCCAGAACACCATGAAGCCAAGCGTGCAACAGTAAAGACTACCGGTCGGATCCCACCTTCTCGACCATGCTGTCTGGTTTAGTTTTGGAATAAGGCATGTTTTCTTATCTTGTAGCTCCCAGAAACAAGGTAGATTACTCATGTCATAAATAACAACAACAAAAAAATATCAAACTTGTAAAAATTGTATACAAAAGCATTCAACAATATAACTGTTTACAATTACTATTTGTATGTTTACTGATATGAATAAACTAACCCATAGAGAATTCTCATTTGGATTTAAAAACCAAAAAACAAATGGGTTTTTTTAAAAAAGATAATAAAGGCATTAAGATGAACGGTATTCGCTACATGGCAACCATAAGAAGGTTTGATCTTAATTTGCTACACTGAACGTTAAGTGAAATATTCCATGAAGACTGGTACTGTATTTCCAAAACGCAGTTTCATGGTCTTCCAAAGGCACATCCCAAAATGCACCCGCTCAGGTAAGAATTTGACCGAGCCTCCTACGTGCGCTTCGAAGGCACAGCACAGTCCGCATCTGAAAGGACCACGCTGGGTCTCGAATCACCACGCAGTTCATCTGCACAGATGCACAGCTGCTGGTGCTTGGGTCCCCTCTCAGGGCACGTGCGACCTCATTTATAGCAGCGACAGTGTCAGGTACATTCTGCACTGTCTGCATTGAAGATGGTTGCTTTCCATTTCTGGAAGGAACCATCTTCAAAAAAACAGAAGAGAGTCAATGACTGGTTCTTCCCTCTCCTTTGCCCAATATTCTTTCTTTATAAACTCATTTTCCATTCCGTCCCCATCCTATTTACATCATCTTAAAATTATAAGAATTTTCCCCCTCTTTTTTATTGCAGCAATTAGCTACTTCATTTTTTTTTCAACTGACTCAGTCTCCACGGCCTACAACAGATACTTTATGGAATCCCCCATTTCCCTCTCTATTTCTTAAAACAAGCAGTGAACTAGGTCAACGACATGGCCGAATAAAATCACGTTTTTATATAGCATTTTTCCTTATAAAGTACCATAAATAACCAATAACAATTTTACTACTTACCATGGAGCATAGAATTCTACAAGCCACAAACTGCCACTTTGAATAACTTCCTGGTTGAAATTGGATGGAGTTAATTCGATGACATCATCACTGGAGGAATACAGACCATTCACTGCTAAAAAGAAGGTACAGCTCACCAGACCTGGAGGGACAACCAAAAGCACACGATTAACGGCAGAGTCCACGGTGACAGGAAACCCAGGTGGCTGCTCTTCCTCCACTGACCAAGGCCCTTCATAGAGGAGGATGGCTTGGGTCAGGTGTCTCTTAACCCCGTGTCTCTGCCCTCCCTGCTGCCATTGGAGCCCTTGGAACTTCACTCCCACTGGTGCAGAGCCGAGCAAGGGGACAGACAATCCACACTCTAATCTCCTGAGCTGCACTTGAAAAAGATCTAAATATTATTCTTAGTGCTTTTCATATATTGATACCTTCACTCCCTACAACCACCCCATGAGGCAGTACTGTTATTGCCATTTTATGGGTATGGACACTGAAAACTGGGAGGTTACATCTAGCTCTGTGACCTTGGGTAATTCCCACAGTATTTATTTCTTGTTATTCAGTTGCAATATCAGCACATCATATTTATTAAAGCTTTTTTTTGAAGGGAAAAAGAATTATTTGTTCCCCCCCCCCCCACTAGGCTGGGATTCTCTCAAGGGCAATGATTGTTTTAAAAAATATTTTTATTTCTAACACTGTCAAGGGCAGGCACATCATCAGGCACTCATAATGTTGCTGGAAGAGCTTACAAAGAATTTTCACGCGAATGCATTCTAAAGGGAAGACTTTATTGTATTACCAATGGCATAGTTTAGCCACACTGTGGACCAAGTGTATTTCTGTCAGCCACTCTGGGAACTTAAATGCAGTTTATAACAATTATATAGAAAAAGAAGTTCTAACTGCCTTATGAATATTTTAAGAATCCAAAAGTCTTTTGAATTGGCAATATTACCAAAATATCACCTCCTTTGAAATTTATATATAATTTCTTTTACTTTTCTAATTGCATTGTCTCATTCCTCTAGAATAATGCTAAATAATGAAATGTTCTTGACACTATCAGAAATATCTTCCCACTTGCGTGATGCTGGCTTTTGGGTTGAAACATGAACTTTATGATATTAAAGAAATTTCTATTATTGTCTTTTCGGCATCTGTAAATATGATCGTATTCCTTTCTTTTAATCTGTTGATAAAATAAAACAAATTCTAAGTGAGAACGATCTGTATTCCAAGGTAGTATGTGTACATGCCATCTTAGTCACATTTTCATATGCTAACTTTGTAAACAGAATTTGGAAGATTTCAAATGAAACTTCTTTTAAAGAGATCAATGGTAAATTCGTCCGGAAGCAGCGCACACCAATGTTAATCGTTCTACTGCTAAATATTCTACCCAAGACTTACACAGTGCTTTCAATTTTCAAATCACTTTCAAATACATTGGATCCCTGGGTTTTCCACAGCGTTACCAAAGATCAGGAATCACCCCCGTTTTGTAAATAGGGAATCACAGGCAGAATAAGGCCCAACCATGGCCTTGTATATAAGCGGCAGAGTCGCCAAAAGTCCCACTGGAACAAACTATTCATATTTTGGTGAATATTCTTTCTATATCTCCATGCAACAGAGATCTAAAACTTTATATATGTAACCATTTTTAATGGCTATATCATGTAGCCAATCCACTACTGACAGAATCTGATTGTTTCCCATTTTTCACCATTAACAGGCTAATGCTGGAAATCTGTATTACTCCCCATCCCCTCAACTGAATATAACTTGACAGAAATTCCTACGAGGGGTTCTGGCTAACGTTTTGATATATTTATCTGTCCAACTACCTCCAGAAATTGACATCTTAACGAAGAATAACATGTCTACAACACTGTGTACGAGGCATTGCTCTAAACATTTAATATACGTAAACTCATTTAAAAGCTCTATGTGTACGGACCATCGTGCCCATTTTTAGGCCAGAAAATGGAGACACAGAAGGTAACTTGCCTAATGCCACACAATTAGAGCTAGAACATAGCTGTTGGTTGTGTAACCGAATTCTTAAGCAAAGGTCTGGTGCCTGCAGAAGTGTAACCCCAGGAGGGTCGCAGGAAGATCGCAGCAGCAGGACTGGGTCCCTTCCCTTCTCTTGCCAACTGGAATGGCAATAGGGTCTCCTCTTCAGCCTCGAGTCACCAAAGGGATGGACCGTGACTTTTACCTCAGGAAAGAGCTTCCTTTCCATACAAAGGTGGTCACAACTCCTGACACCTGGTATAACATGGACTTGGGCCACTCCTTTTTCTAGTAATGCTGGACTTCTGTTTTTAATTTTGCCTGGTTCTCACAAGAGCCTCCCCACCTTATAAATGGCCATCCGAAGGAAATGTCTTGATGATAAAGGTTTGAGACCCAAATTCCTTAAAAGGCAGTATGGCCTAGTAGGGTTAGGAGATCAAGGATAATACTCAGAAAAATAGATTAAAAGATATACAAATTCCAACAGCAAAAATATACCATTAAAAGATACAGTGGTAAATAAAAAATATACATTAAAAGATACACAAATTCCAACAGCAAAAAAATAACTCCCCCACAAAAACCCTCAAGAAAACAAAACTCCCTGGCCCACTTAAGATGATAACGTAGGTCAGTGCTGACCAATGATGTTCTGTCTCTAGAATTCACATGGCCATTCCACTCACTGATAATAGCAATGATGGGAATGGAACAACCGAGGGTCTAGAGTCCATGTGAGCAGATGGTTTTGCCATTTGTGGCTTGCTATGATTCCTTCACAGTAGGTAAGGATGGTATAAACCCACATCAGCAGCATCTCGGCCCCACACCTGCTAGCAAGATTATATCGTCCCAACGCGGTCATCTAGAAACCAAGAGGGCTCCCAAAAAGCCTGACCGCATTGATTAAAATGAGTTAAGTGAGAGAAATCATACTCTTTCAGAGCTCACTCTGAATTCACTTGTGGGCAACTTTTACAGAGACTAAAATCTTTCCCCCCATACACAGTAATACATTGGCCTGTTAATATACCTCTCTCTACAGTAATACAGCAAATATTTACATCTTGGTTACCGTCTTTGGACATGTATTAATTCATTAATCATCAGAACAACCCAATGGTGAACAGCCCAGAACGGTTAAGTAACCTGCTAGTAAATGCGGGGGAGGGAGACTGGGACTCACACCCCACAGTCGGGATCCACAGTCCGGGTAAGGGCTGTTAGAGCACCTTGTGGGGCCCAGAGGAGCCCAGAGGACGTGATCTTCAACTTCGCTCTCTGTTGTCTCTAAAACAGACATTTATGTAATTCGCGAAAGCCTGGGTTTAGTTTTTAAAAGTTCGATCCCACTTAAAGTGCTCTTGCATCGTAAGACCAGCTTTTGAAAGGCACTGTTCCCTTCCTAAGGCGACGCCCAGGCCTTATTTCAGGACTGGCTTTTGATATTTCAGTTTTTCTTAGGGGTTCCCTAAAACAGGTGGTAAGGACAAGATGCAGCGTGAGGGGCCCGCGACTCCCTCGTACGCGCGTGAGGCCCAGAACAAGGCGCCCCCTTTCAAGCTGCATTCCGACACCCCACCTCCGCCAGGGATCGCGGCCGGCTGGTGTCGGCGTCTCAGACGCAGCTCTCGGCCTCGGCTGTCGCCGCCCCCCGCGCCCCGAGTCCGAGCCCCGCCTCGGGCTCCCCCTACTCCGCGTGCTCGCGCACACGCTCACCCGGGGTGCGCTGCGGCAGCTCCCGCCCAGAGCGCCCCAACCTCCCCAACGCACCCCGAGTCCGGCAGGGCTCCCTCCGCCCAAAGGCCGGCGCGGCCAAGGGCAGCCCCCCTCCCAGAGGGCTGTCGCCGCCCCCCGCGCCCCGAGTCCGAGCCCCGCCTCGGGCTCCCCCTACTCCGCGTGCTCGCGCACACGCTCACCCGGGGTGCGCTGCGGCAGCTCCCGCCCAGAGCGCCCCAACCTCCCCAACGCACCCCGAGTCCGGCAGGGCTCCCTCCGCCCAAAGGCCGGCGCGGCCAAGGGCAGCCCCCCTCCCAGAGAG